AATGAGGGGCCTGAAAGATTTATGAGCTATTAGGAACTATAGCCGCATCTGGCCAAATTTTAGAGTTTTTCTCAATAGAGAGTTACAAAATCTTCTGGAACAGTCTAGTATCATATCTATCTGGAGACTGCTGCAAACAAATAGCTCTTTAGTTCTTGGTAAGAGCAAAGAATATTGGGCCAGATTTCTGGCCCTTAAGAAATGTGGAGTCTGATTCCATTTGGCTGGAAGTTTAATTTGGTATGGAATTTTAGCCAGACTTCTAGGGGAAATAATTTTCAAAAATATAACCAAAACTTATTGCAAAAAGTGATGTGCATTTGGTCTATCTGTTCTATTAAAGGTCATTTAAACACTTTGTAAATATTCACAGTACTGTTTCCAGCAGCATGTAGTACTTGCTTGATCTTTTTGTTTCTGAATTTGTGGCCATAAACCTTTATGTAGAATTGGGGGAAACTGATTGTAGTCTGCTGTTTATTTAAATTGCAGGTAGTTGTCTAACCAACTACCAGTGATGTTTTTTCCTTTCTCTGGAAGTTATTGTATAATTCGCCTTTTGGAATATGGCACCTTCTGTTGTGTACAGAGCACTCTACCACTCTAGACACTTCACTAGAACAGAAATAGAAAATAATTTGATATGAGGACACGGTAGTACAGGAACAATTGACTTATGCAGGCTGAAAGAAGCCTTAAGCTTGGCAAAATGATACCCCAAATGCAGGGTGTGATATCAGTTCTTGAATATTTGAGAGATGGAAAGACCAAACAGGGAAAGGAATTATTTTGCTTAGTTATTAGAAGTAAGGGGAAGAAATATAGAAAGAGAAACTTCAGACTGAATACCATTGAATTTCCAGACAATAAAAATCGGTCATGAGTGGACTAGAAGCCCCAACCACAGAGATGTTTCTAGACTCAGCTGGCAAAAACAGGGCATTTCATTGTGGGTGATGTACCTTAATAGTGGCTGAAAGATCATCTGAACAGGAGAAAGTGGTATTTCATTGACAGCCACTCTTGAGGATTTCTCCTTTTGCAGTTGATCAAAGCCTTTTTTCCTTCTATATGCTAGAAAGAGGACTTGAGGTCTTTTTGCTTGTTTCTACCCTGACTGATTCATAACTTACTTTAGAAGAAACATGACATACCTTTGGAAGAAACCATCTTCCAAAGAAATGAGTATTCAAAAGCTTCAAGTTTTTGTGGTATGAAAGCAGTCTGAGTTTGTTTTTTGTCTTTTTTTATCCATTTTTATTTACGTTAAGGTAATAGCTAGTTGGCTGGCCACAGTGTGGGAGACAACTCTTACCGGAGTTAGAACCTGAAGACTGAGTTTGAATTCCGACCCAAGCACTCATTAGCTGAGTCACCTGAGCAGGTTGCAAATCCTCCCTGAGCATCCCTTTTCCAAAATGAGTGGGCAATAATACCATCACGCTTGCTGTGAAGATCAAGTGAAACAGTGTGTGGGAAAGTGCTGTGCCAGTTTTAGTTATTAATGTTTGTACTCATTTTCTATTGTTGCTGAAACAAATGATCACAAAGTAGTGATCACAAATTTATCATCCCACAGTTCTGTAACCTAGAAGTCTGGTTGGGTTTGACTGGTTTCTTTGCTCTGGGTCTCACAAGGCTGAAGTCGAGATGTTTCCACCCTGGTTTCCTATCTGGAGGCTCCCACGTTTGTTCAGGTGCTGGGAGAATTCAGTTTCATGCAGCTTGTAGGACTGAAGTCCCTGTTCCCTTCCTGGCAGCCTAGGGGTGTTTCATCTTCTGGGGGCTGCCTTATTCCCTAGCTTATGACCCCCTTCCTCTTTAAAGTTAGTCAAGTCCTTCTCATGTTTCAGATCTCTCTGACTTCCCTTGATGCCTTTCTCTTCTTTCAGCAGCTGAGGAAAACTTTATGCTTTTAAAGGCTGTGGGTGACGGGGAGCCCACCAGGGAGTCTCGGCCAGCGAGANTGCGTCATTTCCCCTCCCTCCAGCTAGAGAAAGTTCTCGGTTTTGTGGGGCTCATGTGATTAGATTAGGCCCACCGAGATAATCCAGAATAAACTCCCTAATTTGAAGTCCATAACCTTAATTACATCTGCAAAGTCCCTTTCATCATGTAACATATTCAAAGGTTTTAGGGATTAAGGTATGGATATCTTTGGCTGGGGGGGGGGCGGCATTCTGCCTATCACAGTGGTATTTTAGGGTGAGAGGGGGAGCTTACAGAACATGAGATTCTTGCCCTGGAGGACTCACAATCCAGTGAAAGAAGGAGGAAAAACACAATACAGCAAGAAATTCTGTATTAACAAAGAGTCTGTACGAGATGTTGCAGGAGCCCAGGAGACTCCCTGTGTACTTGACTGGAGACTCCTGTGTACTTGACTTGGAGGTTTTTTTCATTATTCTCTTCTTGTTCCCTAATGAGTCTTGCCTTTCATCAAGATCTTTCAGATGGAATTCATATGCCCCAAACACCACCATGTGATTTGATTCCTTAAATGTCCAGAAAATCAAGCTGCTGCTGTAGCTCAGTATTTGGGACTGTACTGCTTCATAAGGTCTTCAGCCCACAGCTCAAGCTAGGAGGAATTATTTTCTTCTCTGACGATGAGGTATAACAAGAGCTCATTGCTCCTCGGCTCCCGTTTTTCATCATCAACCCCCACCGAGAGCCTTATTGTTCTTTACTCCTAGCTCTCTCTACTGTATGTATGTCTTTTCTCCCTCCTCTTCGGAATGTTCTTGTTTCTTATTGTTTTGAATTAGAAGGTACTTGTCCTGGGCAGTGCAGAGGTTTCTGTTTAATTCTTGCCATTTGTCATTTCTAGTTTAATAATGTTTCCTGGCTATTTGGTCAGGTCTGGGTGATAGTTTTGTAGTAATAGCTACCGTTTACCGAGCACTTACCATGTGCCAGGTACTATGTAAAGTTCTGTACTTGCATTTTCCAATTTGGACACACCGTGAGGTATAGGTACTATTTTTCTATTCATTTGAACCTAGCTAGGATTTGAACCAAGCTCCAACTTTAAAGCTTGTACTTGACACTATGTAGTTCAGTAATATCAAACAGGAGCTGAAATGGAGGAGCAGCATGAAGGAACTGAAGCAGCACAAGTAGATTCAGGAAACCTCAATTTCAAACTCTGCCTTTACAATCCTTCTGAAAGAGGATTTGCTTCTAGAGCACCAAGATTGCCTCCATTTTTCCACCAGAGACACTCAAAGTGATTCCTCCTGCAGCTGTGCCAACCACAAAGCACATATGGGCATTGGCTGAGCATTCCACAGAAGAGCCTGTTTCTCTGGGAGGTGGTGAGGACTGGGTGTATGGTGTGCCATGTAGCTGGCCCCTGAAACACCCTGGCCCTAGCAGTTATACATAGAGAGAGTATCTTCCCCACAAGGTTAGTATGAATATTTTAAGGATTTAGGATGGTGCCTGTCACTTATTAGGCACTCAATATGCTCTGGCTCTCATTGTCCTAGAAGGGTTTTAGTTCGTGGGTATTCAAGTTAGCAGAATCCTGTCCTTTTAGCTCTACTTGAATCTAGGCTCAATGTTCAGGAGAAGACATGAGATGCATCTCTGTGTTGGTCCAGGTCCAATGCTGTGAATCATACCAACTCTTGTTAAGTTTGAGCTCTGAAAAGGCTGGAATTTGAGGCCAAAGAAGGCAAAATATTTTCTCCCCCAATTCTTGCTAAGTTCTTGAGTTATTGGCATAATGGAAACAGAAAGTCCTAGGTTCAAATCCGGCTCTACATTTGCCTGTTCAAGTTACCTGCCTGTTTGCACCATGGGAAGAACTTGGGCTGTGGAGAAGGGTAAACCTGGGTTCAAAATCCCAGCTTTGCAAATTAATGGCCATTTTACTCAGTCACGTTTCCTTTCTGAGGCTCTTTTCTATAAAGTGAGGCAGCAGCAGTTCTTCCTTTGCAGAGTTGTGAAGGCAGAGCATAACACATGTGGTATAACCAGGCTGCCATGGGGGTGCAGCCAGTGAAAGGTCTGGAGCTGCTTTACAGGGGCCATTCATTCATTCAGGTTTAGGTTGAGCAAGGGGGCCCACCTGTGACTTATATCCTTCTCCCTCTCCAGTGGAAGGGCAGCCAGGTGAGGCAACTGTGGGTACCCTGCCCACAGCCAGAGCAGGTAAGGGGAAGAGGACTGCTACACAGTGGAAGTGCCAAGTACCACCTAAGCCCAGCCCCATTCCTGTTCCACTGCTGAAGCCCCTGGCGCCAGACAGTGTTGCTTCAGCTGGTAGTAGTTAATGCTCCTTTACTTGGAAACATTTTCAGCTCCTGGGAGCAATATGGTGGCGTGAGGGCTCACTGATCACCCGCCCTGTTTCTCTGTGACTGGGATCTGCATGCCCCCGACTCCGGCCCAATTTACCATTCTTCAAGGCTCACCAGCCTGTGGGCCCAGGGCCAACAGGGATGGGAGTGGAGGGTGGGGTGGAGCGTGGGGAACTTTTCCGGGAAGAGGCCCCGCAGGGTCTTGGCTGGCGGCCCCGTTAGCCACGGCCCAGGACCCCAGGGTGGGGGAGTGAACAGAAAGGTACTCGTGCCTGGAGCGGTTGCAACATCCTCCGTAATGAGGAAGATACAGCTCAGAGGCACTGGGTGGAAAGACCCCTCTTCCTGGCCCTCCTTTCAGGTGTCGGGGCCTAAAGGGGGTCCAGTTCCAGTGCGGAAGGCTGGGAACTAGGAAGCGTCGCGGACCAGACAGCCCGCCTTCCTGGACTCCCGGGTGGGGATTCGGGGGCGTGGTGCGGCTGCCGGGGCTGAGAGGGGTCGGTGCCGCGGCTCTGCCTCCCGGGAAGTGGGGCCCGGCCAAGTCCTGCGCTGGGAGGGGGCAGGCCCTCTCCTGCCCGCGCCTGGGGGGACCCTACGCCTATGTCCGGAGGAGGCCGGCGTCCAGCAGATGCTCGCGGGGGGGTGGGAAGTGGGGGAGGGGGCGGGAGAGAGGCGGGGAAGAGAAAACCCACAACAAAACTTGCGTCGCGGAGCGCCCTGCTTGACTTGAATGGAAGGAGCCCGAGCCCGCCGAGCGCAGCTGAGACTGGGGGAGCGCGTTCGGCCTGCGGGGCGCAGCAGGTACAGGGCGCGGGCGGCCGGGGTGGGCCGAGGGGCCTGGGGCTGAGACCCGGCAGCGCTCTCAGACTTCCCCGCCTCTCCGGATGGCTCCAGCAGCTGCCTGGGGCGGGGCCCCCGCATCTCACCAGCTCTGTAGGATCCTGCACTGAAGGCACAGCCGCAGATCTCCTCCTCTGGGGTACGACCCCAGCGCAGTCACGACCCAGACAGGGGCCTTCTCTTCTGAGCGGAGGCTGGTCCCGGTCCCCAGGCCCCTCCCGCTGCGCACATCTGGAAAGAATCTGAGGGCGGATGGGGGCGGGGGCTGGAGTAGGAGGACGTCGCGGGCGACAGGGAATGTGGGGGGCAGGTGGAACTGTGCAGGGTCGGGGACCCCCGTCATGAGTGCTCGGACCCGGAGTATCTCCGCGTCTTTCCACGTCAACCAATCCGGCCCCTAGCAAGTCCAGCTTCCGACCTCTTTACAGATAGAGAAACTGAGGCCCGGAGAGGCGCAGAAGTTTGCCTCCGGGGCTCGGCTTCCCCGGCCACAGTGCCGCCCCAGCTTAGCGCCAACCACTAGCTGAGCCAAAGCTCTCAGCTGGCGGCCTGGAGTCCGTCTGTCTGTCTACGCGGCTGCTTCCCAGCCGGGACAACTGGACGGAGTAGGGGGTGAGGATCCGCGAACCACGAGGAGCGAGGTCAGCGCCTTCCTGCGAATGCAGCGGAAGCCCCAGGTTGCAAGTCCCCGAGTCACAGCCCGGCCAGGGGCTGGGGACGAGATCGTGGCGTTGAATACCTGACGCGCCGTCAGGTGGAAGAAGAGGTGGTGGCGGGGCGGCGAGGCTCCTGGCATCCTCGGGGCTGGGGCTAGGAGAGGCAGCCGCAGCCTTCTGGAAAGGAGCGGGCGCGGCCGCAAGGTGCGAGCGCTCTGGCCCGGGTGCGCGCGTCACTGACTGATCCTGTCCGGGAGGCGCGGAGGATGCGCGCCCAGCGCTTCGAGTGAATTTACGGACCTGTAGGGCCCACACAACCTGAGCTGCGAAGTCTGCCCTCGGAATACCGGCTGGCTAGGGAAGGGGAAGCTGTGGTCTACCCTGCTCCAAGAGGCACCACCACTGGTGTGAACTGGGAGAGCCCCTGGGTGTTCCTGTCCCCTATCCCTCTCTTATATAGAAAGCTTCCACACTGGGAAGGCAGCGGCGAGGCAGGAGGGCTCATGGTGAGCAAGGAGGCAAGACGGTCTGCAGGCGCACAGCGCTCCGGGGTAGGTCACTCAGAAGAGCCCGTGGACAGCCCTGGGAAAGACCAGCGGGGACTGGTCTGGGAGTTCTGCTTCCTCATGTCCACTCTTAGGGCCCAGGACCCAGTCTCTGCTAGCCTAGAGGGCAAGTTAAGAAGTGCCAAAGTCATACGACTGTGTTCATGTCATCTGTGGGAGCATACTTTATCCCTTCTGCCTGAGTCTAGGGAAGGGGATTACTAATGGTGGCACTTTTAGGCTTGGTGGAGTCATACATGAGAGTGCTGACTGTGACCTGCTTGGAACTCTCAATGAGTCCCTGTCATCAACACTAGCATGGCGGTGGATGCCCTTGGCCACCTAGGCTTCCCACCCTGTTGACCCTTCCTTAAACACACCTCCCTCTCCCCCAGCCCCACCCCTGCCTTTGGGTCACACCCTACCTCTGCCTAGGGGGCTGTTTCTGAGAACCCCTGCTCAGTCTTCAAGACCGACTCAAGGCTCTGGGCAGGCTTTTACTCTTGGCCTTGCCTTTAACACACTAATTTGCAAACTGGAGGAGTCAGAGCAGATCATATTGCAGATCTTTAGATCTTTTCCAACTCTGCCTTTCATAGTCATTCATTCAGCAAGCATTTCCTGAGCACCCACTCCATGCTTGGAGAGACAGGGCAGGTTCAGCTGAGCCTTGAAGGATAAAGCTGGGCAAGGTTGCTGTGGAAGCACCCAGAAACACCCTAACCCAGCCAAGGGGGCAGGAGAGTCTTCCCTGAGCAGGGGCATTTGAGTAGGAGCTTTCTAGGGATGGCAGCAATGCCAGCCCTTTGTGCTTGAGCAAAATCTGCAAAACAGGAAGACGAACACTTAGTCCCAGGATTTCTATGACAGTCAGTAAGATGCAGCTGTTTGGGGCCCAGCACAGAGCAGGTGGTCAGTTGGTTTGCACTGAGTTTGAGTGGAGAAGGAAGGCAGTGCTGGGGCTGAGGGTCCGCCTCTTGATTTGGGTCTCCCTTCCCCTTCCTTCTTCTAGTCCTACCTTCATCTCACTCTTTGGCCTTGAGGTTTGGTTCCCTGGTGGAGGTCGGGGGAGACAGCGGGTCCCCCTTACTTTCTCAGTAACAGTAGCAGTAACCCCGGGTATGTCACACTTACTTGTCACCCAGCGATGACAGCTGGGCCTGCTATTTCATTTAATTCTCACAAGTAGCTCCCAACTCCATTTCTTAGACTAGTAAACAGAGGCTTGGAGCAGCAAAGTGACTCATCCGGGCTTACACAGCAGTCAGAATTGGAACTCATGCCCTTCTGCCTCTAAAGTGCTCCACATGAGGAAGAGCACACTGCTCGCTGAGCTGCCCCACTGTCCAGGGGTTTGAGTTGTTCCTTACAGGGTGCACTTGAAACTCCTGGAGACCAGGGAGCTCCCCTGTTCTTCCCCACACACCTTCCACATGACTGGGTACACAGAAGGGGCCTCACTGGGCCGGGGAAGGGGAAGTGGGCTTATCTTGCTCCATTCTTAGAATAACAGGGTTGGGTACAGTGGCTCACACCTGTAATCCCAGCACTTTGGGAGGCTGAGGCAGGAGGCCAAAAGTTCAAGAACAGCCTGGGCAACATAGTGAGACCCCATTTCTAAAAATAAAACATTAGCCAGGTGCCAGGTATGGTGGCATGTGCCTATAATACCAGCTACTTGGGAGGCTGAGGTGGGAGGACCACTTAAGCCCAGGAACCCAAGGCTGCAGTGAGCCATGCTTGTGCTGTTGCACTCCAGCCTGGGTAACAGAGTGAGACCCTGACTTAAAAAAAAAAAAAGAAACGAACAAGTGGGAAAACTGAGACTCAGATGGGTCAGTGGTATGGCCAAGGTGACACAACAAACCAGGTAGTAGGGCTGGACCTGCCCAGGACCTCTCAGTCCTGAGAGTGGCTGGCCAAGCTGGAGGGACCACTCTCGAAGCCCCGTCTGTTCTTCCTACCTCTCCCTTTACTCCAATTTCTCCTCTCCATCCCTGCAGTCCAGCACCTCTCTCTCTGCCAGGGTCCGGCCCCTTTGCCCTCACTTGTCCCAATTGCACAGCCTCACGTCCACCCACAAACTTGCCTGTGTTACGTTCCTGCCCTTCAGTGGTCCTCGTCTTCCAATGAGAAGGCCCACACTGCCTAACCTGGCCTTCACGTGGCCTGGGCTTGTGGCCACTGTGCCTGTTTGTATCACTCCCAGTCCCTATCCCCCACCAGATGGTCTTGTGGGTGTGGACTGTCTTGCCTCTGGGACTCCCTTGCTTGTGTGACCCTTTCCCTTTTGCCTGAAAGTTATCCCTTAGAATGGGATTATAATACTGGGCTTACATGTAATGCTGCAGACCAGCACTGTTTAATAGAAATATTATGTGAGGCACAAATGCAAGCCACATATGCAATGCAACATTTTCTAGAAGCCTTTTTTTTTTTGAGACAGAGTCTCACTCTGTCACCCAGGCTAGAGTGCAGGGGTGCGATCACAGCTCACTGCATCCTCAGCCTCCTGGGTTCAGGTGATCCTCTCACCTCAGTCTCCTGAGTAGCTGAGACTACAGGTGCATGCCACCTCACCTGGCTAATTTTTTGTATGTTTCGTGGAGACGAGGTTTTGCCATCTTGCCCAGGCTGCTCTCAAACTCCTGGGCTCTAGTGATCTGCCTGTCTCAGCCTCCCAAAGTGCTGGGATTACAGGCATAAGCCACCTTATCTAGCCAGAAGCCATATTTTAACGAGTAAAATGAAACTGGTAAACTTTATTTAACCTATTCACAATATTATCATGCAATCACTATAACAATAAATGGGATTTGATGTCATCAATATTAACAAGGTATCTTACATTCTTTTTTGCACTACATCTTTGAAATCCATGTACACTACATTTTACACTTACATCTCTATGTGAACCAGCCACATTTCAAGTGCCCAATAGCCACATGTGGCAAGTGGCTAATGGAGTGGACAGTGCAGCTGTGGGCCTCTGGAGGGCAGAAGCCACGCCGAGTCTTCTGTGTGGATCCCCGGCTCCCTGTCATGCTTGGCCTTGGGGAGAGCAGTGTAGCATTGCTGATATGATCTCAGCTGAGAGCTCAGATTTGCCACTTAACAGCTGTTCCCTGGCTGAGCCCACTGGGCCTCAGCTCCCTGAGTTGTAAAGTGGTGATGATAACATTTTCAGTATGGTGCAGAATGTTAACATAAATTAAATATTTTTATGGATGCAGTTTACAGATTTTTACAGATACAAAACGGAAGGCAAGGAGGCAGAATAGCCTGCCTGGTGAGTACACAGGATATGTGGGGCCAGAGCTCCTTCCCCCGGATTCTTCTCCTTGGCCTCCTGCCCTGATTGAATTTGGGGACTGGGCCTGGGCCTTCCCTCTCAGAACCCCCGACTACAGTGGGGTCAGATGGGCAAGGGGCTGACGGCTGCTGAGCTGGCTGTGGAGTTTATGATGCACTGTGGGAATGATGGTCTGTAGACTGATGTTGGGTCAGGGGCTAGGGGCAGCAGGGCTGCGGTGGAGCGAGCATGGGGTAGGCTGCTGTGGGCGCCACTCACTGTTGTCGACTGATCCCTGGATCCTGGAAACTGCGTGTGTGCTGGGCTCCCTGGTTCCCTGGCGAGCCAGTGGCTGAGACCTGAGTCTTTATATGCCACGGGGATCTGTAGGCCCAAGCAAGCCTGGCTGCCACCCCTCCTGTCTTCTCTAGGGCCTCGAACTCCTTGGGACCCTTTTTACGCTGCCCACCCCCAGTCTGGGTGGGCAGTGGTTATTGGTACCGGCGTCTGCTGCCCCCTCCAGATGGAGGACAGGGATCTTTTCCACCTCACCTGTGTCTCCAGTACCCAGTTCAGGCCCAGACACAAATGGGCCCTTAATTCAGAGAACTAGCTGAGCCACCAAGTGAAGCAAAGTGGTATTTGAAATGCCACAGATGCCACGGGGCAGCAGGAACTCAGAGGCGGGTAGAATATCTGTAACATCTTCTGGGAGGAGGTGAGCCTGGGATGGCGTCAGAAAGCCCAAGCGAAGGGCCAGGCCAAGTGACTCATGCCTGTAATCTCAGCATTTTGGGAGGCGAAAGTGGGAGGATCACTTGAGGTCAGGAGTTTGAGACCGCCCTGGGCAACATAGGGAGACCCCATCTTTACACAAAGTTTAAAACTTTGGCCGGCATGGTGGTGCACCCCTGTAGTCCCAGTTGCTTGAGAGGCTGAGGCTGGAGGATCACTTCAGCCCAGGATCTCAAGGTTACGGTGAACTATGATTGCACCACTGCACTCTGGCCTGGGTGACAGAGACCTTGTCAAAAAAACAAAAAACCCAGCAAGAGCTAGACAAGGGAAGGGGAAGGAGCAGGAGATTCTGGAGTGGGCAGTGGTGTGGCAGGGGTGCAGATTATGCCCACCGAACAGACAATTAGTGGCAGGAAAAGCTAACGTTTATTGAGCACTTACTATGTGCAGTACATACATTTCACTGACCCCTCACAGTCTTCCCATAAGGATAGTGCTGTTATCCCCAAGGGTGGGTGAGAAAGCCAAGGCTTAGACAATTATAGTCACATAAGAGCCAGAGCTGAGACCGAGCCAAGATTGCAGCTCTGGCTGCTAGCTGCAGACATCAACGTCATTGCCAAGCTCCCCAGTTTACAAAACCCTCCTCGGCCCAGGGTCTTGCCAGGCCCTTCTAGCTGGTTTATGGTCATGGTGTCTGATCTGGTGGTGGGGAGGGAGGCTCAGCCTGAGCCGGGGCTTGTGGCCACTGAGCTCAGGAGTGAATGCCCCCATGCTGGAGGTGTCCACAGCAGGTCCTTGCTGCTGTCCTTGCTGCTCACTTAGTGGGGCATGTTACTGTGCATAATTACGCATCAGGTGATGAGGTGACAGCAGCTCCTCATCACCTAATAGGCGCCAGGTGCTTTGCGTCTGTTATCTTACTCCACAGAAGCTGTGCATTTAGATGTATTAGCTGCATTGTACAGACAAGGAAACTGAGGCTCAACAAGGTCAGAGGTGGGACTCAAACTGGGATCCGTGGGACCTGAGTCAGTGAACCTGAGCTCCCAGCACATCTTATCACAGCCCAGAGATGTCTGAGTCCCTGTAAAGAGAACCCAGGAACCCACCCAGTGCCGAGCCTATGCCATGGGACTGCTGGGATAATGGTATCTTCCAGCATCTTCCTCTGTGGGCCTGAGATCATCCTCTGTACTCCTTCCTTGCTGCACCTGGGGGCCATGCTGGGGAGTGCTCTTTGGCAGGTTGGCAGTGGTCGCTGAGCACATCAGGCCCTGGTGAGGCCAGCTAAGGGGATAAACATCAGGAATGGGACTTGGGAGGCCGCAAGGGCAGTAGCAGCTGTAATCACTGATACTTTCTCTGTGCTGCGCTCTGGGCTTGATCTATACTCAGACAGAGAGATGCTCACAGCTCTGTGTGGGAAAAAGACGCCTTTGCTATTCAAAACCCAACCCAACTAATGCCAAGCTCTGGGTGAACATGGTCATGGAGAGCTCTGGGGCATCTCAGAGTCCCGCTGCTTCCCCTCTTCCCATGTTCACAGCCCTGGAGTTGGTTCCTAGAAAAGAAAATGCTGATTGCACAAGAGAGGAAGGGCATCCCAGGCAGAAGGAACAGCACTTGCAAAGGCCTGGAGGGAGGAGCTATTCGATAGTCCTGTAGAACTGGGGCAGTTGAGGGGACCACTGGAAAAGAGTCAGGACCAAGTCAGGAAGACCTGCTAATGGTGAACGTGAGAGCCGGGACGCACACTGCCAGCGCTGGCTCACCATGGCCTGTGGCTCCTGGAGGAGGCTCAGGGTCTTCCCGCGCCGCCAGTGCCAGGGTAGCAAGGGCTCGGCACAGTCCAGGTCATGCCTCGGCTTCCCCTTCTAGGAAACAGGGGTACAGACTCCTTGGGGCCAAGCCTGCTGAAGGCTGCAGAAGGTTTTGCAGACCTGCCTGAGGACAGGGCTTCACCTCGTCGCCCGCCTCTGGAGGCAGCCTGGTGGGGTTGGGCAGGTGCGGAGGGCCGTTCAGTCAGTCATCTACTGGGCTCTGAGGACAGTCCAGAGTGGGCCCTGCTTTGTAGCCAGGGGGGCCCCCATCATGACTTTTGAGGGCCCCAGCTGTGTCCCCTGTACCTCACAGGTTCCGTCAGCCCTGGCGCCCAGGTGCATCTGACTTGGCACCCCCTGCAGGCACTATGGCCCAGAGCTGGGCGCTGCTACTCCTGCTGCTGCTGCCGCCACAGCTGCACCTGGGACCTGTGCTTGCCGCAAGGGGCCCGGGATTTGGCCGAAGCGGCAGCCACAGCCTGAGTCCCGAAGAGAACGAATTTGTGGAGGAGGAGCCGGTGCTGGTCCTGAGCCCTGAGGAGCCCGTGCCTGGCCCAGCTGCGGTCAGTTGCCCTCGAGACTGTGCCTGTTCCCAGGAGGGCGTCGTGGACTGTGGCGGCATTGACCTGCGTGAGTTCCCCGGGGACCTGCCTGAACACACCAACCACCTGTCCCTGCAGGTGAGGTCGGCGCTGCACCCGTGGTCACGGGGGCTGCCCCACACACCCTTGGCTCCCATCCCAGAACCCCGACACTCCCAGCAACCTGTTCACCCAGAACCTCCAATATGCGTGGCTCTCCACTCCCAGCCACGGGGTGCTGGGGCAGGTCAGATTCAGGGGCACTGGCCACAGCAGGTAACGCCCCTCCTGGTGTCCTAGTCACAGAGCACTGTGATTATACAATAAAACCCGCTTTGCTTACTTAGAGGAGTCCGGGCTGGGCCCAGTAAGTGGAGCCAGGCTCTGTCTGAAAGTGGACACAGACCTGCCCCGCAGCCGACCCTCTGAAAGCGCAGCCACCACTACAGGGCCAGGAACACCAGAGCAAAGTAGACTTGACGCACCCTGAGCATACTCCGGGGTCTCGGAGGAGGGAACGCTGTCTCCAGCCAAGGGGGAGGCTAGAATTTGGAACCTTGAGAAGTCGGACAGTGTCCAGACCAGGAGCACCCTGGAGTGCAGGTGCAGAGTGCCCCATCCTCACCTTGTGCGGCCCAGCAGCCCTGGGGAGACGGAGGGGCTGCGGCACTCGTTTCCAGAGGCGACCAGGCCCGGTGCGGGAGAGTGACTTACTGACGGCCATCCCCACTGGTGGGTCTGAGCTGGGGACCGTGGGAGCCCAAGGCCAGGGTAGCCACCGAGGGAAAGGGCCACTCTGAGGGCAGCTCTTACTGTTGGCTCCTTTGCCCTTTCATCCACACATCAGCTCCCTCAGGCACCTGCACTGGGCCTCTGGTCCTGTGTGGGTGCTGGGCATGTGGGCAGGGCTTGGTGTTCCCTGCCTTTCAGGTGCTTACAGTTGGTTGGCGAGGCAGAGACCTAAACAGATAGATGCCAGATGGCAATGGAAGGGCTGTGTGTGGGGCCCAGAGCAGCCTCCTAATCTAGCCCCAACCCAATCCAGGAAGGCTTCTGGAGGAGGTGGTCCCTGCCTCAGCTTTTCATGTGTTCCAAGGGGAGAGGGGACTGTAGGGCCAAGGAAGAGAAGGAAAAGTGGTTTCTGGCTTGGGGAGCAGCTGTGGCTGCCTGTCACGAGGTGGGAATGCTCCAGGAGCAGGTCTGGAGGAGAGAGCACGTCGAGTCTGAACTGCCTGTTGATGTCCACGTGTGGCTTCCCGAAGGCAGGACCCACACACCTGTTGTGGTCACTGTGGTGCCCCAGAGCCCATATCCAGGCCTGGCCCAGAGCTGGCACACCAGGGTCTACAGCCATGGGGAGGATCCCAAGGGAGGTGCCTAGCAGGTGGACTGGATTCTAGGATTGGAGCTGCCGGCAAGGGCCGGAGTCCAGGGCACACCCCCCTAGGCTGATGCTGCTTCTTCGCTACCCCCTACCCCCTAGAACAACCAGCTGGAAAAGATCTACACTGAGGAGCTCTCCCGGCTGCACCGGCTGGAGACGCTGAACCTGCAAAACAACCGCCTGACTTCCCGAGGTGAGGGGCTGCACAGAGCCAAGGGGCAGGCGTGCCAAGTGGGGGCTTCCTGAGGTGAGGGGCTGCCTAGAGCTCAGGGTCAGGGGCACCAAGTGGAGCCTTGGGGGCCTGAGCGATGCTGGGTGCCCATGGGGAGAGCTTGGCGCTATGAATCTTGGGGTGTGGATGGAAGAGGGCAGGGCAGGGCCGGGCTGGCAGCGGGGCTCATGAGAACCAGCTCCACACAGGTAAGGGGCTCCCCATTGTTGCCTGAATACCACACGGGTATTTCTTTCTTTCTTTTTTTTTTGACATGGTCACTTACTTTAATAACAATACATATACCTTGTTGTCACCATGGCATGTAGATTCAGGTTAGACAAGAGAATTTCACGAGTGTAATAACATTCTGTAGTATATAAAAGTTTGTGTATACCATCTGGCCAAGACAGCGGGCTCATAGTCATTAATCAATTCCATTATAGGTAATTTGTTTAGTTTAATGTTTATAATTCTTATGGAAAAAATAAGGAACACACACATTTTTAAAGTGTTAATTTACCTTTGCGTGAGTGATTAAAATACACAATTCTATTTCAAGATGATATTTTAAAATGACTCTAATATAACAGCAGCAAAAATATAATTCTGCAATTACAAAAGAACTAAACTAGAATCCATAAGTTATTCTCATGTTTGCGATTGTGATTCTTTAATAAATACTATTACTATGCTTTATTGTAAGCTTTCTAAATTTGGTTTAAACACACCCATAGATACTGTCAGTTGTGGGAGGCTTTACAAGTTATATTCCTTGCACTTTTGGACAGCAAGTCTACAAGACAGGCAGAAAAAAGTTGAATTAACTGGGGCAAATAGGACCTTATATAACATCCAAAAACGTGAGATTCTGCAGCAAACTGGGAGTACTTCAGGACTGGCCTGCTGTTCTCTTCAGAATTAACTTTATCTTAACAGTTTAAGGAGGTGGACATTTCAGCACCATCAAGTGCATTCAGGTGACATGTTTCAAGATGTCTAACTAGGCTGGGTGTGGTGGCTTATGGCTGTAATCCCAACACTTTGGGAGGCCAAAGCAGGTGGATCACCTGAGGTCAAGAGTTCGAGACCAGCTTGGCCAACATGGTGAAACCCTGTTTCTACTAAAAATACAAAAAATTATCTGGATGTGGTGGTGGGCGCCTGTGATCGCAGCTAGTTGGGAAGCTGAGGCAGGAGAATTGCTTGAACCTGGAGGCGGAGGTTGTGGTGAGCCGAAATGCTCCGTTGCCCTCCAGCCTGGACGACAAAGCAAGGCTCCATCTCAAAAAAAAAAAAAGTTATCTAACTAAAGCAAGCTCCTCCAACAAGATCAAAACAGCATCTCTCCTAAGGCTTAGGTTTTGCCCAGAATTCCCGATATAGGGAATAGCCCATCCCAACAGTCATTGCTCCTACAGCGAAGCCTTGGGCTGCCACATGCATGCGGATCAGATGAAGGGACATTTTTGTATTTCCCCTGCTCTTCAATTTGTGTAATCATATGCATTTGTGTAATCATAAGCCTGCCATTCCAATGGGGACAAATGGTGCTTCTTCAGCCTTCTAAATAAGTTTGGATCGCTGATCTTCACCATGTGAAAGAAGGGAACCTCTGTGTATGTTGACATAGTGATTGCTTGAAGAATCTCCCTAGAGAGAGAAAACCTGTCACTCGCCAGCCGGCTTCTGGTCCCAGCTGTGCGCCCCAGGCAGGTGTTTCTAAGACCTGGGAGATGCGCAGGGAGAGGCTTCGGAGAAGCTGAGCTTCCAGCACCTGGTCGTAGGGTCTTCTGTTCCAAGGGCCTTTAGAACCCAAGAGCTGTAGACTCACATTTTAAAAAAGATGTTTTGTTTTTTTTTCCTGATGACGAAAATAACATCTGATTAAGAGAGAAACTTTGGAAAATAAAATGGAAAGAGAAAATCTCTCGTAATTCTGCCACTTGGAATTAACTACTATTGACATTTGGGTATATTTGTTTCCATTTTTAAAAAAGCAGCTTTCCTGAGGTATCACTGATATACCGTGAGATTTACCCAATTTAAAGGTAAAATTGGATGAGTTTTAGTAAGTGGTGCCACCATCACCACAATCCAGTGGTCTTTTTTTCTTTGTGTCTTAAACCCGTGGCTGGACACACGCTGCAGAAATCACAGCCTGCTTTGCTTTCCTTAGCAGTCAGCTCAGCCGCCTCTCTCGTGTTGCTAAAGCCTCTCATTGACCATCATCTCACACAGCCGCTCCACGGAGAGACTTGCCAGTTTATGTAACTGTTCCCTCTTGTTAGAGACTTGGGTGAGGTCCTGCATCTGGGGGTCTTGGAGCCCAGAAACGCGGGTCAGAGGCCAGCCTCAGGGCTGGAGAAGGGCCAGCCTGGCCAGGCTCCCTTAGCAGCTGAGTCCTGACACATCTGCCAGATGGGGCAGGGGCAAGCCAGGTGGTGAGGAGGCCCAGAGCCGTGGCCCACCCTGCGTGGGGCCATTCCTGGCGGGGCCCACCTGCCTGTGAACGGGGCTCTGACCTTCTGGGGCTCTCCCCGAGGGGAGTGCTTCTTCCTGACAGAAAAGGGTCAGCCTGGGTGCTCTGCCGCTGGCCTGACCTCTCCAGGGGTCATCCCCACTCAGAGCAGGGCGTCGGTCCCTCAGTAGACAATAACTGCCTCCTCCTCGGAACGCGGGCTCGTGTGAGCAAGCAGAAAGAACAGGGCTGGGCAGGCCCCGCACCCCGACTGCTTGGGAGGGGAACTGAGCTGCCTCTGCCTCCCCAGTCCTGGCAGGTGGGTGGGAGAGGAGGGTGGGTGCTTGCTGTGCTTCCCTGTAGCGTCTCCTTCATCCAGGGCTCTGACCGATGCCTGTCCTTTGAAGGGCTCCCAGAGAAGGCGTTTGAGCATCTGACCAACCTCAACTACCTATACTTGGCCAATAACAAGGTGAGGGGCTCGAGGAAGGGTGGGGGGTGTGCTGCACTGTCCTCCAGGCATTGTCTTCCCTGAGTTCCCTCAATTTTCAGCAGGCCTTTCTGGACTGGCCACTGGGTCCCTGCTGCTGCTCAGACATGGCCCTAGGTCTGGGGTAGGGGGGACACGGACCCATGCCTGTAACTCAGGGCATCAGAATGTGTCAGGTAATGAAGACAGAAGCCAAAGCCCACAGGACTATAGAGAGGGAAGAGCTTATCCCCACTGGGGAAGGCATAACTGGAGGGCTTCCTGGAGGAGAGCGCATTTGAGCAGGGCCATGGAGGGTAATAGGATTCTAGGCAGGGGCCCCAGGGTGGGCAGTAGAAGGGATGTCATGAGTGAAGGCACAAACATACTCAAGCTCAAAATATTTGGTGTGCTGAAGAGCTCTGTCCCAGCCTCTCCTCTCTCTGAACTCTCTGGAGGTGACCTGTGCCCTCCCAGACTCTATCTCCCATCTGCATCATGGCCATGGCCAGTGGCTGTCTCCAACCCTCTCTACTCCTTGGGCTTGAGACTCAAAGGTCTGCTGCCTCCTTGACATTTCCCCTAGACATCCACTGGAAGGAAGCTACAGCTCCTGCCCACAGCCCCCAAACCCAGACCCAATCCTCCTCTGTCTTCCCAGCTCTATAAGGGGCATCTCCAGCCACCTATGGCCCCACTGGTCCAAGCCACAAATGGTGCCTCCGGGCCCTGAGCTTCCTCACCGCATCCAGTCCCACTGAGGCCCTCAGCCCCTACCACACCAGCCCCCATCCCTCACCCGGACGCCTGCCTCTTCACTTGTCCCCGCATTCTTGGATCAGCCAGGGCAACTTTAAAGTCACACTCATCGCTCCTCGGCCTTTTGGCTGAGATCAGGCGTAAAAGTTACACCCACTTCTACCCCTTATCTGCTCAAGATGAGCCCAGGAGGACGGGTAGGGCAGGGGACAAGTCCCAAGGGCCTTGAATGCCAAGCTGAGTGCTGAGGACAGCCAGAGAGGTTTTGGTTTTGTTTTTGCAGGAGGGTGGGACAGGTTTCAATTTGAGAAAGATGGCCTGGTTACGGGGAGGAGACGTAGTGAGGGGGCCCACGAAGGCAGCAGCCAATGGGACCCAGAGCTGGCCTCTGCCCCTCCATTGCTCTTTTGGCCCAACTCTTCCCTTCCCAGCTGACTTTGGCACCCCGCTTCCTGCCAAACGCCCTGATCAGTGTGGACTTTGCTGCCAACTATCTCACCAAGATCTATGGGCTCACCTTTGGCCAGAAGCCAAACTTGAGGTCAGAGGTGGGGGGTGGTCTGGGCTTGGGCTGGGGCAAGGGGAAGGGCTGTGGTGGTGGCTGCCATCCTGTGTGAGGCAGAGGCAGGCCCAGAGGAGGCCCGGTGCTCAGGGCTGTGGCGGAGGGACACCGAGGGGCCCTAATGGAGGAGGATGACTCCGGCCGGGAGGCGAGGACAGCGTGTTGTCTACAGGAAGTGTGGGGAACCAGTGAGGGTGTCCCCGCTTTCCCAGCCCTGGGGGAGGGGAGCATCTTTCAATAGCAGAACTGCCCTTTGCTGAGCTGTGTTGGGAGGAGCCAGCACCCCCAGCATAGGTATGAGAGAGCAGGGCGGCATGGGTGGAGCGGGGGCTGCAGGGGAGCCACCTCCAGGACAGACTGGGGGCTGGACAACCCCAGCGCCCTTCTGACCCTGTGTCTGCCATCTCACTGACTCTCTCCATCTGCCTGAGGACCCAGGGCCACTGTGCATGGCCCCATCCCACAGACGGAGGCACCAGAGGGGCCTCACAGCAAGGCTTAGCTGTCACAGACGACTCTGTTCCTTGTCTTCTCTCCTTCTAGTATGTTAGCTCCCTGAGGGCAGGGCCGCGTCCACTGTTGTGCCTTCAGTCTAGAACAGCCCCGGCACCTCGTATATGTGTTTATTTATACACCTCGTATATGTACATATCTCTATTTAATACATTACATAACGTATTCACTACATATTTGCCGAATGGATGAGGGTCACCTCCTCTCAGACACGCCCTGTGCTGGCGCCAGAGCCAGAGGCGGGCAGAGAGGGGCCCTGTTTTTAGGAAGTCCTAGGAACTCACAGCCAGGCTGTGTGGGGTTGACAGGCAGGGATGGAGGAACCGCGAGGCAGGCAAGGGCTCCAGGGCTGAACCGGTCAGGGGTCAACTGAGACTTTGAAAGGTGCGGAGGAGCCTCGGCCAGGGGCCAGGAAATCCTGTTTCTCCCACTAACTTCCATGAGCACCTGTGGTCGGGCACAGCCCCTCTGGGCCTTAGTTCTGTCAGCTGTGTAGGCAACATCTGAGGTGCTTCTAACTCTGTACCCTTGGGTTTGGGTCGAAGGAGAGCACCCTGGGCCCCAGGCTCAGCCTGGGAAAGGGTTTGGAGGCTCACCAGGTGAGCTGGCGCAGGGCCGGGGGGCCAGGTGGGGTAAGGCCCTGCGCCTTGGCCCCCAGGTCTGTGTACCTGCACAACAACAAGCTGGCGGACGCCGGGCTGCCAGACAACATGTTCAACGGCTCCAGCAACGTCGAGGTCCTCATCCTGTCCAGCAACTTCCTGCGCCACGTGCCCAAGCACCTGCCGCCCGCCCTGTACAAGCTGCACCTCAAGGTGGGCAGGGGAGGGGGTGAGGAGGGGCACTGCAGACCCCAATGCCAGGGCACTGGAGCAGGGGCCTGCAGGGAAAGAGCCCAGGCCCACATGGGCACAGGTGCTGCCCTGCGGAGAAGTGGGCAGAAACCTGGGCACCTGGCCAGCGGGTTGTGTGTGGTGTTGGTGGCACCACCCCTGGGATGCTTCAGGTCTGAGCCCGTTCCTGGTGGCTTCCCACTCTCCTCTCCACACCTCATCCGGAGGCCCTGACCCTGCCTTCGGCCCTCCCTCACACTCTCCTCCCTTCCCCTCCATGCCCCAGAACAACAAGCTGGAGAAGATCCCCCCGGGGGCCTTCAGTGAGCTGAGCAGCCTGCGCGAGCTGTACCTGCAGAACAACTACCTGACCGACGAGGGCCTGGACAACGAGACCTTCTGGTGAGTCCTTGGTGTGACTGCGGGGCCCGGGAAGCTCCTTCAGGGCCGACCACCCAGCCCAGCCCCTCACACGAATCCCTGCCCACCTTTCCTGGAGAAGGAACTTTTTTTTTTTTTTTTTAATTAATTCCACATTTTTCTTCTTTTTTTTCCCATTTATTTATTTTATTGCATTTTAGGTTTTGGGGTACATGTGAAGAACATGCAAAATTGTTGCATAGGTACACACATGGCAGTGTGATTTGCTGCCTTCCTCCCCATCACCTACATCTGGCATTTTGGAGAAGGAACTTTAAGCCTTGTGCCTCTGTTGACATTTCTGTCCCTGGGAACAAGTACTGTGTATACATAAGTCCTGCCAAGATTCCTTAACTATAAGAAGCACTGGCCGAGGCTAGCTTCTTGGTATGAAATAGAGACTCAGACATTCTTGTTGAAGGCAAATGCATTTTCATTTTTATAAGGGACCAGGGTGGCCACAAAAGGCTATCAAAAGGTTAAACAGCCTGTGTGTTAGAAAATGCCAGATCGTTCCTACACCAGAATAGCATTGGGTCAACCCAAGGAGCAATGACTGAGGCCCCTAGTCAGTGAGTGGCAGAGCTGGGAGGAACTAGTGGCAATTCCCCAGCTGCTTCTCTTGGGAATCGTGGTGGAAACAAGCACCGTGTGAGCTCCTGCCCAGCATCCTGATTCCCTCCCTGCCCCAGGAAGCTCTCGAGCCTGGAGTACCTGGATCTGTCCAGCAACAACCTGTCTCGGGTCCCGGCAGGGCTGCCACGCAGCCTGGTGCTGCTGCACTTGGAGAAGAACGCCATCCGGAGCGTGGATGCGGATGTGCTGACCCCCATCCGCAGCCTGGAGTACCTGCTGCTGCACAGCAACCAGCTGCGGGCGCAGGGCATCCACCCGCTGGCCTTCCAGGGCCTCAAGCGGCTGCACACGGTGCACCTGTACAACAACGCGCTGGAACGCGTGCCCAGTGGCCTGCCTCGCCGCGTGCGCACCCTCATGATCCTGCACAACCAGATCACAGGCATTGGCCGCGAAGACTTCGCCACCACCTACTTCCTGGAGGAGCTCAACCTCAGCTACAACCGCATCACCAGCCCGCAGGTGCACCGCGACGCCTTCCGCAAGCTGCGCCTGCTGCGCTCGCTAGACCTGTCGGGCAACCGGCTGCACACGCTGCCACCTGGGCTGCCTCGCAATGTGCATGTGCTGAAGGTCAAGCGCAATGAGCTCGCTGCCCTGGCACGAGGGGCGCTGGCGGGCATGGCCCAGCTGCGTGAGCTGTACCTCACCAGCAACCGACTGCGCAGCCGGGCCCTGGGCCCCCGCGCCTGGGTGGACCTCGCTGGTCTGCAGGTAAGGGGAAGGGAGGGGGCTGGGCCATGTCCGTGGAGGGGGGTACTGGCATGGCTGCCCTGAGCCCACCTGTCTGAAGGGTGAGGAGGAGGGCTGGGTGGTGAGGGAAGTTCCTCAGGTATGGCCAGGCTGAACTCATTCACCCTCAGTTATCTGTTGGGGATGCCAGCTAGGGCGAAGCAAGGCCTTAGGGAAGGCAGGAGGTGGGCCATGCACAGGGTGTGGCTGGCATGCCAGGGTCAGCCCAGCCCACCTGCAGGTACAAGGGCGAGGGATAGAGTACAGCTGGTCCGGCTAAGCTGAGCTCACCACCTGCAGATACAGGTTTGAGAAGGGCTGTGGAGGTAAGGAAAGTCATGGCTGCAGGTAGGGGCCCCAGGTTCAGGAGGACTAGTGGTGTGTGCATGGGAGAGTCAAACTCACTGCCTTAAAGGCACAGGAGTAGGTATGTGGAGAAGGTTGGGCTTCGGGATGGGGACAGAGGGGGACAGCCTGAGCTGTGGGCCCACCTCACCAGTCTGCAGAGGGCTGGCGGTGGGGATCTGCTCATGCTTTCTGGGGCTGGCCAGTGGATGTGGCTACTGTGGCCACATGGTCAGAGTTAGGCAGGGATGTCTGGGCACATGGTTCACTTTGGTAATAAGCAGAACTTCCAACTCAACCAGTGTGGGTGCAAAGAGAAATCCACTCCGTATGCTGGCTCATGCCTGCAATCACAGCACTTAGGGAGGCTGAGGCAGGAGGACTGCTTGAACCCAGGAGTTCAAGGCCTGCCTGGGCAACATAGTGAGACCCCATATCTACAAAAAACAAATTAAAAAAATAGCCTGGTACAGTGGCACACACCTGTATTCCCAGCTACCCCAGGAGGCTGAGGAGGAAGGATCACTTGAGCCTAGGGAAGACAGAACAGACAGTGAGCTATGATCGTATCATTGCACTCAAGCCTGGATGGCAGAGCAAGACCCTCTCTCAAACCTAAAAAAAAAAGAAGGAAACACCTGGGAGGGAGGGTGGGGTGCTGACAGGCTCCAGCGGCTCCCTGTTAGAGCCCACTTCCCTGACTGCTTGCCCCTGGACTCCAGGCATGTGATGATCTGAGACAGAAGGGCCTGGGGCCTGGCTGTTGTGCTGGGGTCGCTGTGGGTCTCACCCCCTTGCTCCTGGCCTCTGCACATGTGGCCCCTGAGGTTCATAAGTGAGCAGTCCCACCAGTGCACCTCCCACTGCCCCCATCCAGGGCCAGTGGGGTGAGATTCAGAGTCTAGAGTATCCCTGGGTTCTGCCTATTTGAGGTCTTTGGGAATGACAAAATCTAATGGGAATGACAAGTGTGTCAGGAGGTAGGACAGTGACACCCAAATATCTTGGCTGTGAGTTTATATGAGAAGGCACAGAAGCTGGGTAGGTAGGACATGCATCAATTAGAATAAGGGTTGGGAGTCAGGTGCATGCAGCTACAGCCTTTTACAGGCTATGTAACCTTGGAAAGATCACTTAACCTCTCTGAGCCTCTGTTTCCCCATCTGGGAAGTGGGCATAGTGGTAGACTCCCCCTGCCCCCCACAGGGTTATCATTAGATTTAGATAGGCTGGGGGCTTGTTGGGAGTTTTGTAAGCTGTTAAGTGCTTTGCACAGGTGGGAGTCCCTGACTCCCTTGGTCGCCCCTGCAGCTGCTGGACATCGCTGGGAATCAGCTCACAGAGATCCCCGAGGGGCTCCCCGAGTCACTTGAGTACCTGTACCTGCAGAACAACAAGATTAACGCGGTGCCCGCCAATGCCTTCGACTCCACACCCAACCTCAAGGGGATCTTTCTCAGGTAGGAGGCCACTATCGGCCCTGTATACATCCCCGGGAGGCCCGCCCCAGCTCCAGCAGGACAGTTGAGGCACGTGGGAACAGCTCCACTGCTGACTGTAACCACGGCTCAGCTCTCAAGGTTTAAGTCCTGCCCAGGCCTGATATGGTTCCTGGGTTTGTAAAAGGGCTTTGGAAACGTTAAAAACCAGTGCACATGGGTGTTGTGAATGTTACTGTGGCAGAAAGGACGTCAGACAGCGTCTTCCCAGTTTACAGCTGGGAGAGCTGAGGCCCCGAGAGCACAGTGACTGCTGTGTCTGTGGCCATCCAGGCTGGGCCTGGGCCTCATGCTCAGGAAGATGCTCAGGTCCTCCCTGGGTTCCGGGGCTAAGGGATGGGGGTTTGGAGGGATTCAGGACATGCAGCTCCCGAGGATATGAGGGGCTTCCATGCAGCAGAGCCAGGGTGGTTCTTCCCAGCACTTCCCACTGCCCCTGCCCCCAAATCAGAGAGGAGACAGAGCAAAGAAGAGCAGTGTGTGCTCCCAGGAGCTTGGTGGCCCAGAAGGTCCAGGGCTCGATGACATCAGGGTGGCATGACATGTGCCTCGGGCATCTGCAGGGGAGCTGAAGTGCAGCAAGTGAGGGGCCTGAGATCAGAGCCACAGCCTCCACCTCCCCACCCCTGAGTGTGGCCCTAGCCCACCTCAGCGCTGGCCTTGCCTGTGTGCCACTCCACATCAGGCACTGTGGTGACCCCTGGTTATCACAGCCTGGGAGCCTCAGGCCTTGGGGTTAATGCCAGGGATGGCATAGAGACAGCTCCCAAGGATGTGGCTTCCAAAATAGCAGTGAAAGTGTGCCCAGAGAGAGACCCCTCACTTTGCAGAGACTGGCCCAGGGCCAGCCCCACCCCAAGCTGCGGCTACCCTGACTGGCCTGTACCTTCCAACATGCTCCCCACCTCTCAGCCCCTGGCCTTTCCTGCCTGCTGCATCACTTTTCGGGAGGGCTGTTCCCTCCCCTGTTACCTTCTGGAGAGGGCAGTCGGGGTAAGAGAGGGTTCCTTGGGGGTTAGGCTCCTGGCACTGACTCCACCTCGATTCTGGCGCAGGTTTAACAAACTGGCCGTGGGCTCTGTGGTGGACAGCGCCTTCCGGAGGCTGAAGCACCTGCAGGTCTTGGACATTGAAGGCACCTTTGAGTTTGGTGACGTTTCCAAGGACCGTGGCCGCTTGAGGAAGGAAGAGGAGGAGGAGGAGGAAGAGGAGGAAGAGGAAGAGGAAACAAGATAGTGACAAGGTGACGCAGATCTGACCTAGGTACGTGGCCTGCATGGGGCAGCCCTCACCTCTGCTCACTGCACCTTCCTGTTCCTGACCCGGTGTAGGGTCTTTCCGGCCATGCTTCACTCTCTGTCCTCTGCTTCATCTGCCCATTTTGCAAATTTATAAGAGCACTTGGGAAATACCAGTCCCTGGTGAAAGATTGAAGCCTACAAGAGGCCCACAACTTCCAGAAGATTCTCACCCAGAGTGAGGGTGCTGTCATGGGAGTGCCTGGGGGGCACTGGACACGTGGGTCTGGGCTCAGGAGCGAGGTCTGGTCTGGAAAGACTGATCCGGGCGCTGTCAGCCTGGAAGCATCACTGAACCCTCGGGGCTGGGGAAGCTGCTGTAGGAGAGTGAGTGAGGCGGGCAGGCAAAGCGGGAGAAGAGACTGAGACAGAGCAGTTAGGAAGGCAGGTGGGACAACCCCACTGTCATGGACAGAGGGCGTTTGCACATGTGTGTAACACAGGCACACACATGTGCATATGCAAATACACATGTATGTACCAACCCACACATTCATGTGCACACACGTCTAAACATGTACACACATCCACAAACCATGGAAGGCAGAACACACACCATACACATGTACACACAGACACATACATTCTTGTATTCCATGACACATTTGCAGGCCTAGACCATGTACATGCACACACATGTGTACATGCATGTGAGTACATGCACACAAGACAGCCATGCGTATGCACACACACAGCCCTCACCTGCACACCTGCATGCACACACATGCACACGATACGTGCATGCACAGGCCTCTCTAGAAGCGGGGACATGGCCATGTCAGTGCTGCTGAGGGGCTGAGGGAGCTGAGCACCGCAGCAGAGTGCACACTGGATTTTTCCACCTGGAGGTTGTCTTTGACTTTGTAGCCACAGGGGAAGCTGGGGGTGAGGAGAGCATCCGGAAAGGAGGTGGGTCCAGGTGCTGTAGATGAGCCTTTGGAGCAGTTTGGCTGTGAGAGATGAGAGAGGGCAGAGGTGGGAATGGGGTGTGAAGTTCAAGAAGGGCTCATTTTCTGAACTGCACAGGAAGCAAAGGCCTCTCGAGGGGAGTCCTGAGTGGGGGGCTCTGGAAAGATGCATCTTCCACACACGCATCCGCTTAACGGAGGGGCCGGCTTGGATGCTGGTGGGAAGAGGCTGGCCAGGAGGGGGAGTTACTGATGTAGGAAAGAGCGGAGTGTGAGGGCCCTTGTGGGAATGGCAGAAGTTGCTGGCTTTAGCAGGAGGGACAAAGGGCAGGGTGGCTGCAGTCACAGGTAGGTTGGTGGCTTGGTGGCCGATGTGAAGCCATGCTTCGCAGACCACAGGTGTGAAGATGGACAGCTGGATCCACCCCCAGCTGGGTTTTCGGCCCAGTGTGTAGGACAGGAGGGCACGGAATAAGGGAGGGTATTGGCTGGAGCCTGCTGGGGGCGTGGTCCCGGGGTCAGGCTGGGGAGGGCTGGTACAGGCAGAAGGGCCGATGGCCACTGGTGAGTGTTGACTGAGGTAGGGCCTGGGGCAAAGAGGAGCCAGAGGGGGCTGCTGAGGACCCCTGGGTGGGCGAAAGAGGGAGTTGGGAGAGGGGCGCAAGTGATGACAAGAGAAGAGTGTGCATGGGGGAGTGGGTATCCGCAGGGGTGGAGGGGCGGGCAAGAGGCCGAGCTTAGGGGTCACCTTCCTCAGCTCCCAGGGCCCAGGGAAGATGAAGGTGGAACCGTTTCTCCCAGGCATTGTCCTCACATAGAGTTGGGGCCAGCGACAGGGACTGGCCATCCAGTGAGGATACCACAGCCTTCATGAGGGGGGCTGTGAGTCCTGGGATGAGAGTTCTGGGTGACAATCTGCCCCTTCTCAGGTCAATTAAGTGGGGCTCTGGGATAGGCTGCGGGGAGTGGGTGGTGGGACCCAAAGGCCTTCTGGCATGAGCACCCCACCGGTTCTGGGCTCCCTCCCTACTCATAGTAGTCCAGCCTTTCCAGAGCCGCCTCCAGCAGGGCTCCCCTCAGTAGCCTCCCGCAGCTGCTTGTGGCTGGTGGGCCTGCCCCAAGCTGGCCCCTGACTCTCTTACGTGTTCTGCAGGATGATGGACTGCCGGACTCCTTGCTGCAGCGCACACCTTTGCCCGAGAGCCCCCCACTCTGCTGTGCTCACACAGATACACCCAGCTGCAAGCATGGGGCATCCCACACGACACAGGCCAATACAATCTCATATCCCCACCCCTCCCAGAGCGTGTCCCACGGCCAGACATGTGCAGACAGCACGTCACACCCTCACACGCCCAGCTCAGCCACACAGCCAGTTACACATTGCCCTCCAAACCACCAGTCTCTGCCCCACACCCACTACCGCTGCCACGCCCTCTCAATCATGCAGGGAAGGGTCTGCCCCTGCCCTGGCACACACAGGCGCCCGCTGCCTCCTGCTGCTGACATGCGTATGTGTGTGCTACATACCACACACACACACACACACACACAGTCATGTGCAAACAGCCCTCCAAAGCCTGTGCCATGGCCAGCTCTTGCCCCAGCCAGAACAAGCCATAGCAGCTCACCGTCTGCCCCGTCCACCTGTCCGTCCGTTCCCTGGAGAAGACACAAGGGTATCTCCATGCTCTGTGGCCAGGTGCCTGCCACCCTCTGGAACTCACGAAAGCTGGCTTTTTTTCCTTTCCCACTCTTTGGGGACAGGAGCCTTCAGGACTGCTGGCCTGGCCCGGCCCATGATGCTCCTGCCCGTGCTGGGCAGTCACTCTGCCAAGAGCCCTCCCCCAGCAACGCCCTGGCAGGACACAGGCACTTTTCCGATGGGCAAGCCCCAAGGAGGCAGGACGGGGGGGGGGCCTCTTGGGTGCTGCTGGGGCCTTAGGGCAGGAGTGAAGCGGAGGTGGTGGGGCTGGGCTGAGCCGCAAGGCCGGGGGAAGGGCCCAGCTGCACCCAAAAGACAGCTTTGTTCTTCAGGCCTGTGGGGGAAGTTCCGGGTGCCTTTGTTTTTTATTCTTTTCTAAGGAAAAAAATGATAAAAATCTCAAAGCTGATTTTTCTTGTTATAGAAAAACTAATATAAAAGCATTATCCCTGTCCCTGCAGCCTGTGGCTATGTCTGTGCGTGCTTCCTGCCAGGTGCTGGGCTGGTGCGGGTGGAGGGCGCAGGATACAAGCCCCTCAGCACCCTGGCCAGACCAGCAGGCATCAGTGGAAAGTCCAGTTCTCAGGGCCTCCAGAGTAGCTGCACAGGCAGGGATCCCGGGAGACAGGACAGAGCCTCTGGCGAGGGGGCCTGGAGCTGTGTGCAGATGGCTCACTGGGGAATAGTAGGTGAGGCCTGAACCTGCACACGTGGCCTGTGAGCCCACTGTGCACTCCCAGAGTGCAGCGTCCAAGCAAAGGACCTCCTGGGCTTTGGGCCTGTTAAGGGCTCACCTGGAGGGTCATGGCTCACCTTTGCACTGAGGGGCATTACCAGTGTGTCCTGTGCCTTAGAGGAGAGCAAGGGACTGGAGGTAGGCCTGGAAGCTGGAATACAGCTGACTTGGGGGCCAGGTCTCTGCAGACCTTCCCAGGAAAGAGCTCACAGTTGTGCCCTCTGTGCTCTCCACCCCAGTGGGGGCAGAGCTGGGACTGGGAGAAGAAGCCACAGGGAGGTGATACCCACCTCTGAGCTAAGAACTTCCGACGGGCAGAGCTGCCCCACAGTGGGTTGAAGTGCCCTGGAAGTGACCTGCTGCTGGAGGTGTGTGAGTATGCTGCCATCAAGTCCACTAAAGAGCAGGCTCCTGCCTTGTGTTGGGACAGACTCGATTGCTCAAGGGGTCTTAGAGATGTCACACCAAGAAGGGACTGCTAAGCCTATCCGCATGAAGGTGGGATGACCAATTGCGTGACATCTGACCTCTCCCAGGTGAGGAGGCCTCAGCGAAGGATGGATGCTCTCATGGAGGGCCCCCAGCCCTGCAGTGAAAGGTGGTGTCCTGGGGTCCCACTCTTCCCAGACTCCTCAGACTCCACCCCTGAGAGGAAGGTGGAAGGAGTTTGGGAGTGGGGTGCTGGAAGCAGGTGCCCTCCTGATGCTGAGTGACCCGGGAGAGGCCTGTCCCCTCCCAGGACCTTAGTGTCTTCATGGGCACCATGGTACAAGCCCTTCCAGACTCCAGAGCTCTGTCTTCTCCCCAAGGCATATCTGGAACAGGCTGTGTGGCCAGGACCCTTCTGTGTGCCCTGCAGGCCTCCTGGAGGCAGCCTGGGGTGGAAGAAAGAGGGGGGCCATCTGGAAATGTCCCTGGGCACGCCCCTCTCTAAAGCAAAGCATTCACCACAGGGAGCCAGACTGGGAAGAAAATCTGTTGCTTCTTTGGGGACCGATCTCAAGGCCCTGCCTGCAGAGCAGAGTCTAGGCTAGGGCAGAGAGATCTGTCCACACTGGACGATGCCCAGCCGCTCTGTGGTGGTTGAGACAGGCTCCTGGGCGGGCTGCTTGTACTGTCTTCTGCATGTGACAGCTCAGACAGGCCTGTCCTTACTGTGGTCACTGGGACAGGCTCCTCTGCACTCTGGCTGCCCACACAGGCCTGTCCACACACTGGCAGCCTGATAGACCTGTCTACACTCCAGCTACATGGTCAAGCTTGTTAGATTCTCGCCACCTGCACAGACCTGTCCATACCCCGGCTGCCCAGACAGGGCTGTCTGCACTCTGGCTGCCTGTATTCATTAGCCCAGTAGCTATTATCACATTTGCTGGCTAGCATAAGGTGTTGGAGCCCACAAGAAGTGAAAAACAAAACACCTTTATTTAGTTATCACTGAATTTGCAAACACAGAAAGGAATAAAAAACCCGACTCCGCTTGGACACACAGGCCTTTGGGGAGTTCTGACACCAGGGCCCCACTGGCAGCTCCACCAGTGCGTTCCAGCTACACCTCCCTCCCGGAGTCCTGGCTTGCCCACGCATCCTGTGGGAGGCTGGTCTGGATGTGTCGAGGGGGACTTTCAGTTCTAGTAAAGACATCCGCCTCCACCTCCAGGGAGCTTTGTAAGAGACAAGTGACAGGACAGGAGGGTGGACGCACTGTGGCCTGGGGAAGGCAGTGGGGCTGGGCCCTGGGCTGCTCCCTGCAGGGAGAGCTGTCTGGCTGAGGCCACCTGTTATGGGGTGAGGCCTGGGGCTGGACACAGCTACAGGCTGCCCTGTCCTCCAAGAGGAGAGGCGGGACTTGAAAGACTTGAGTTAGTGTCTTGACCTTAATGTGAGACCTTGGACAGGTGTTTTCAGCTCTCAGAGCCTCAACTCTGTCATCTGGAAAGTGGGGCCGGATAACCCCTGCCTGCCACCCTCACCGGGCTCACATGGGGAAACTGTCACAGTGGGGCCTCGGGCAGTGCTGGGCTTATCACGCCCTGGTTGGGGCTCCCCCATGCTGCCTTTCCCTTCTTTGAGACTCCATTTTCCATCAAGTGGGGCTAATTCCAGCCTCTCAAGAGTGAGAAGAATATGTGGTCCTGGCCCCTGCCGGCCACTCAGGAGGGTTGGAGAGCTGAGTTCCTGCCTCAGGACCCTGTCCCTGGAGGCCTCGCCCGCCCCTGCTGCACCGCAGGCTCAGACGTTGGTTTCCAGCTCGCTGATCTGGATAGTGCAGTGATCCAGACGCGCAGCGGCTGGCTCCTCATCCTGCTCCACTTGAACGGGGACGTGGTGGGGGCAGGTGGGGCCCAGGGTGAGCTCCGAGGCCTCAGCCACGCTCTTCACGCAGCCATTCTGCTGGGCTGCCACGATCTCTTGGAGGCTCACTGGCTTGGTCTCTCGGGGCAGCAGCTTCTGGTGAAGGGAAACAGGCCTTGGCAGCATCAGGAAGGACTGAGGTTAGATACTAGGGAGGACTGAGGTTAGATACTAGGGAGGAATGAGGGTCAGTGTGGCAGAATGAGCTCAGGGCTAGGAACCACGAGATGGATTTTCCTGCAGACATGCTGTGTGACCTCGGCAGGCCGCAGGGCCTCCCTGGGCTCCTGTTCCCAAGCTGTCCTGCCTCCCACTGGAGCTGCCTTAGTAGAGGAGGGGACTCGATCCACAGATTTGGGTCCAGCTGGGAAATCAGTGGCTCCCCTGCCTGACCTCAGCTTCTTCCCCATGACGTGGGGACAGCCTTCTCCATTTGCCCACAGAAGGAGCCTAAAGCCCACACAGCCTGCACAGACCTACCAGTGTTCACATTGTTGCTAAACTGGACAGGCCATCCCTACACTGGAGTGTAAGTTCCATGAGGGCGGGGAATCTGCTCACATTTTGTTCCCCTGTTCCTCCTGTGTCTATATCAGTGCCAGCCACAGTGGGTGCTCAATAAATAGACGTTAGAGGAATTAGTCACCCTGTAACAGACGAGGAGGCAGAGGCCTAGAGGCGAGGAGGGAGGGATTGGCTGGAGGCTGCCCAGCTGGTTGGTAGAAGATCTGGTGTCCTGCCCACCCCACCTGGCTCCACCCTCCTGGGGGTCTCTGGACCTCACTGCTCTCACCTCGGTGCCCGTGTCTCGAGCAAAGTCCTTCCGACATATGTGGGCCATGATCCCCGCTGCCAGTGCATCACCCAGCACGTTAATCATGGTGCGGAAACGGTCCCTGGTGAGCCAAGGGGGGCGGTGAGTGGTGGGCACTTGAAGGGGAGCTGGAAGAGGGCAGTGCTCAACCCACTGCAGCAAAGCACGGCTGGTGACCAGCTGTGGTGCAGAGCCTGCAGCCAGGTGGCTTCCTGGCTCCTCCCAAGCCCACCCTTTGGCATTGTTGAAGCAGCTTCTTGGCATGTGGCTGTGGGTTCTACAGGTCCCTATGCTAAAAGGGTCAGGCTTGGTTTAATGCTCTGCTGTTTCTGTGTTGAAATTCTTTATGGGTTTTTTTTTTTTGAGACAGAGTCTAGCTCTGTCACTCAGGCTGGAGTGCAGTGGCACCATCTCGGCTCACTGCAATCTCCATCTCCTGGGTTTGAGCAATTCTTGTGCCTCAGCTACCCTATTGGGGGGATTACAGGCACATGCAACCACTCCCAGCTAACTTTTTTTTTTCTTTTAGTAGAGATGGGGATTTTGCTATGTTGCCTAGGCTGGTCTCAAATTCCTGGGCTTGAGGAATCCTCCTGCCTCGGCCTCCCAAAGTGCTGTGATTTACAGGCGTGAGTCATCACGCCTGGTCTTTACAGTTTTTGGACTGGGTTCCACATATTCATTTTTGAACACTGGACCCTGCAAATTATGCAGCCAGGCCTGTGCTGATGAGTAGGGCACTGCCACAGTGCCTACAGACGCTAGGGAGGATGAGGGTCAGTACAGCAGTGAGACTCCATTTTCCATCAAGTGGGTTAATTCCAGCCTCTCAAAAGTGAGAAGAATGTGTGGTCCTGGCCCCTGTCGGCTGCTTAGGAGGGTTGGAGAGCTGAGTTCCTGCCTTAGGCCCCTGCCCCTGGAGGCCTCGCCCACCCCTGCCTTCTACCCTGGGGAAGGGACTCAGCCCCTCACCCTGATCCCTGCTGCCTTTGAAGCCGGCCCCTCCCAGAGGGCTAGAGCTGGGGACAAAGTCTACTCACAGAGCCCAGTCAACTGCAATGATGAGGGTGATGTCGTCGGTGGGGAGTCCCACAGAGGTGAGCACGATGACCATGGTGACCAGCCCGGCCTGGGGGATGCCGGCTGCTCCAATGCTGGCCGCAGTGGCTGTGATACTGCAGGGGTGGGGAGGGGGAGAGGAGCAGCAGGAGGGCGGGTGCCTTGTCAGGGTCTGGCTCCAAGGAGGAGGCTGAATGTCAGGGCCCCTGGGACAGCCATTTGGGGAGGGGTGGTTAGGAATGTTGCGCCAGGGAGCTCTGGGGGTCAGGTCCTTACTCATGGCCCTGCAGCCCCACGCACCCCCATTCCCAGTCTCAGGAGAGCTTCTGGGGAATGTGCAAACACCTGTGTCTGGAGCTACGCCTCTATGGGTTCCAGGAAGCTCTATTGCTATGAGCTGCCCGGGACTCTAACTGCCCACCATGCGGCTCTGCCCCCCTCCCTCTGGGACCTGGCCTCCAGGATCAGGCCTGTGTGCTTGGCTGGCCTGGGAGGCCTCCATAGCCCGACCCCAGCATCCTTTCCTCAGCTCCTTCCACACCAGCGGCCTCTCTGAATCCTGTCCCTGGCTTCTGCTTGCCCGGTGCCCACCAGCAATGCCCTCCCTCCCCACCTGTCCTCCAGGCTTGGAGCTCTCGACCCTGGCCCTCTGCCAGCTACGCCCTGAGCCCAGGTTCGCTTGCCTCAGTGACCCCTCAGGTTTGGGAGCCCAGGAATCCCCAAAGCCCCCAGCCCCTGCCCCATCCACACAGGTGCGGTGTCAGGGGGCACCTGATGGTGATGATCTGGCCAAAGTCCAGCTCGTAGTTGTTGACCTGGGCAATGAAGATGGCAGCCACGGCCTCGTAGAGCGCGGTGCCGTCCATGTTGATGGTGGCACCCACGGGCAGCACGAAGCGTGCGATGCGCCGGTCGATGTGGTTATTCTCCAGTAGGCACTTGAAGGTGATGGGCAGTGTGGCTGAGCTACGGGCAGAGGGGCCGGTGTCTGCCCAGCACCCTCCTCCAGGATGACTGGCGCCCCTGTTGGGAAGCTCACCCCACCCCACACAGCCACTCCGCCAGGAGTGCTCCTGCCCTGAGGTGCTGTCTTGGCAGGAGGGAAGGACCACGGGCACTGCTGTGCTCCCACTTGGTTCTTCCTATGAGGGAGGTGTTTGGGTCCCTTTTACAGATAACGAAGCTGACGCCCAGAGCACGAGACTGACCCTTGTCACACTACTGTGCCAAGGGAGATGGAGGCCTGAGCAGCAGGCTCTGGGCTAGGCTGCCTGGGCTTAGATTCCAGCCTCCCGCCAAGTGGCCCTGAACCCTGTACCTTAGCATCTTTGTCCCCAGAATACTTGGATCACAGAGCTACTAAGAGGATTAAACGACTCTGTGCTTGGACAGCACCTGGCCCATTGACCTACTCAGTCCATGGTGACTGCCACCCTATTGTTACTGTTTGTCATGAGAGCTCCTAGTGGCAGTGCTGGGACTGCAATGCAGGCGGGTGTGGCCCATGCCTTCCTCTCCCCTGGGCTTCTGCCTGGGAGGCCCGTTTTACTCGCCACAGCCTCTTAGGAGCCCCAGACCTGCTGGGCTTGAAGCCGCAGTTCCCGCTAGCAGGACATGGCTAGGGGGCTGCTGGCTCTGGCAGGCTTGGCCCGTGGCATGGGAGCTGGCATGTTTGGGGCTTGGTCCTGTCCTCTGACCCCCTGTCCTCAGGAGGATGTTCCTGGCAATGGCTTCTGGGCTTTTCTGGGGTCTGCTCCTCCTCAGTCCTGCCAAGCGTGGTTGTCATATGACAGGCCTGCAGGGCACTTTACAGATGGGGAAGCTGAGGCCCAAGTGAGGGCTGGAGGGAAAAGTGAGGCCTTCGGTGCCAGAAAGATGTGGCTTGAGTTCCTGCGACTTCCTTAATGTGGAGCTCAGACACTTGCTGTGGGGAGAACCACCCTGCCTTCACAGGGCCAGATGCTCCATAAGTGGCCACTTCTTTCCTGCCCCCTCTAACAACGACGTGGTTTGCACAACTCTAAATTCCTGAGGTCTCTGCACTGGCCTGTGGTTTGGGATCCCGGAGGCCAAGTGCCGGCTCACCTGGCCCAGCCTGGCAGGGAGGAGCTCAACCCCCACAGCAGACCTGTGAGCCAGAAGCTTTCCTAGTCTGTGCATGAGGAAAGCAGTGGCCAGGCACAGCGAGTGAGTGATGGAGCCATGACTCAAGTCCCTGAGGTCTAGTGACACTGCCTGGTTGTGACAGGGCACCCAGCCAGGACGCCCCAGCAGCAGTGGACAGGCAGAGCCTCTAGAGCGACGCAGGGTGCGGCTCCGGGAGAAGCACCGTGTCGGGGGCGAAAGGCGGCTGCAGCGCGTTGCCGATGTGATTTCCCACAGACTCACAGCGCTGTCTGCCCTGGCACGTGGAAGCTGCCCCATGTGGACTCAGTGTGCTTGAGGACTGGGGCTGTCGGGGACGGGGAGGCCTCAACAGAGGCCGAAAGTCCCCCACATCAGTCTTGCCACCCTAGCACCAGCTGTTCCCGAGTTTGTGGGGTGGGCCACACTGGCACTTTGGTGGTTCTGTGGCGAAGGACAAATGATGGCTGGATGGATGAACAGGGCTCAGCCCCTCCCGGCTCCCCACTGTCCTGCCCGTCCCCAGGGCTACCTGGAGGAGGTGGCCAGCGCGATGAGCAGGGCCTGCAGGATGCCGCGGATGAAGACGATGGGGTTCTTCTTGGTGATGAGGAAGTACAGCAGGGGCAGGATGAAGAGCCCGTGGAGCACCAGCCCGCACACCACCGTGATGGAGTAGAAGCCCAGCTTCTTGCCCACGGCCCTGGGGTCGTCCATCTCCAGGATCTTTCCGGCGATGAGGAATACAATCCCGAAGGGGAAGTACCTGGGGGCGGCAGGGCAGCCGGGCTCAGGCACCAGGCAGGCAGGAGGCCCACCGCGGCCCCACCCTGAATCACTGCGGGGCCTTCTCCTCCCTGAGCCTCCCCGGGCTCCTGTGAGGACAGTGAGGCTGTGCCAAGGTGCCCGGCCCAGGCTCAGCACGTGGTATCCTTCATGCTGTTACCTCCACCACCGCAGCCCCAGACAACCTCTGCCACTTGTTCTTCCCCTGCCCTACCTTCAGGAGGCCTCCATATCAGCCCCAGCCACACCACAGCCTACACAGTGAACGTGGGCAGGCCTCCCTCTGCATTCCTCACTGAGCTCCTGAGCGCTGAACTCTGGACCACGGAATAGAAGCTGGTTCTCACCGCCAGCTTTCCTTTCTCTAAGAGCTGAGCTGATGAGGCTCCATGTGATTGCAGCAGAGCTGGGCTGAGCTCTTATACCAGGCTGGAAGGGGCAGGCCCAGGGCAGGAACCAGATCTGGCTGGGGCTGGGGGACCCAGGGAAACACATGTAGCTCTGGGGTCCTGGGCCAGGGCTGAGCCTGGGCACAGTTTTCCGCTCACTCTAGGGGAGCAGAGGGCGGGGCCATGTCTTCCCTGCATCCTCCCAGGGCGGGCCAGGGTGAGATGGGTAAGTGAGGAGGCTTACCACACTGCCACCGCCACAATCTTCATGACTGACTCATTGAGGCACTGGCAGAAGCTGACCAGGGGGGCCCCGCTGTCACCCATGCGGCCCAGCATGATACCTGCAGGTCAGGGACACATGAGCATGTCACAGACGCCCCAGGCCAGGGTGCAGGCACACTGTGGCAAAGCAGGGACAGGCCCTTGGGCCCACATGGGTCTTGGCATGGCTGTCCTCCCAGCAGCCCTGATGCTCCAAGCCTCCCCTGCCTCCCCACCCCGCTCCCTCTCTCCTCCTCACTCCACCACAGTGCTCTCCCGTCTTCCTCCTGTCTCACCTTCCACCACGCAGCAGCCAATGTCATCTCCTCAAGATAAAACACTCCCTGCCAAGCAGACCCCTGGCTTTGCCGTGCACTTAGGCCATGACATGCCCCCGCTGCATTACCCAGTTTCAGGTCTCATCCAGCTTGAGTGGGCCCTGCCTGCCCCTCCCTCTGCTCCTGCCCGTCTCACTAGGCCCTGGCACCACGGGCCTTCTTTAAGTTTCTGGAAGGAGTCCAGCTCTTCACTGCCTCAGGGTCTTTGTGTTGGCTGTTTGCAATGCCCCAGGCACTGGCTGCCCGCTCTCCACGTGCCTTGGAAGCCATCCCCACTCCCCTTTGTAAACTCCCACTTACTCTTCAATATCTCATCTCTTAGGGTCTATTACAACATCTCTTAGGGTCTATTACAACAGAACTGTCTGGATTTTTTCTGTCTCCTCTATGAGAAGGTTAGCTCAGCAAGAGCAAGAACTGCATCTCCTTAGCTGGCGCATGTTAGATGCACAGTGAACGATGTGAGTGAGGACTAAAAGCCTTCCTGACGAACCTGGCACCGCCCCCAGCATTCTAGGCCTTCCTTCCCAGCTGCACACCAGAAAAGGGTGGAGTGGGGATGGTTCTGTGGGGTGAGCTCCATCAGGCCAGTCCTGAAACAGGGACTGAGTGGCTGTCCTCCCTCCTCGTGAGACCGACATGTGGAGCAGAGCACTCTGCAGCTGCCCTCATGAGGCCCACTGTCACGGCTCTGGGGCTCAGCCAAGGAGGCAGGATGGGATTCAAACCCTGGCCTCCCTGTGGGACCCCAGAGAAGGGCTCTTTCCCTGTCCCGAGAAGTCTGAGCCACACAGTCCATGGAGCAGCTACCCCGCGGTGATAGGGTGAGGTGGGCAGGAGAGGCTGGAGTTGGAGGTGACCCTGGGCCTACCCCGGGCCGGCTACCTGTCCTCTTGCAGCCTGGCTGATGTGGACCCAGATTCCCCTACTGGCCCCGCCCCCCCGGCTCCACCGTGCATGGGCTTCCTGCCCTCCTCAGGCCCATTTGGATTTTCCCTGTCATCCAAGAGCTGGCTGCTGGAAGCCAGTGTGCATGGAACCCTGGTGTGGCAGGGGAGGGGGCTTCCCTCACAGCAAGGCCAGCAAGACCTTAGCACCAGCCACATCCCAGGGACGGAGTGGAAAAAGGAGGCTGGGCTGAGGAGACCAAAGAAAGCCCTGCTCGGAGCTGCTATGCAAATGTGCTCACTCACACATGCGGGCAGACACTGGCATTTGCACCAATGGGCACAGGCACCAGCAGATGTGGGCACTGACAGGCACAGACACACAGAAGCAGGAGTGGGCACACGCAGGCACGAGCACACACAGATGCAAGTGCACACAGACAGGCACGGACAGGACAGGCACATGCTGATGCGGGACCCAGAGATGGCAGTACACACAGATGCGGGCACAGGCGGGACAGGCGCACGCTGATTTGGGGACACAGGGAAACAAGGGCACACAGACATGGGCACTGGCAGACGTGGGCATATGCAGGCATGAGTACACAGACTAAGCCACACACCGCCTCAGTGCACTCACACAAACGTCCCCGATGCACGGACAGTTCCACATGCTCAGCAAATGCTCAGCGAGTCGAGCTCAAGGGTCTGGGGTTCTTTTGCTCTGCCCATAGATGCCCTTTCCCATGTTTCCAGCCCTGAGAGAGGCTGAGTTTGGGGACTGCTTGTCAGGTGTGCCAAGAGGCACTTTTAGAAACCATCCTGTACACACTCGGTCACCAAGGCCCTGGTCCCTTTGCATGCCTGGCGTTTTGGCCCAGATAAGAAGAGCTCCATTACCCATTGTCGCCTGGTCGTCCACCCATCTCCCCACCAGGTCTGCTGAGTGCCTGCTCTAACCATGGCAGCGGTGGGCTCTGGGGTGGATTGAGACAGGCCTGCCTGCCTTCGTGGGGCTGCCCACGGCTGGGCAGAGGGCAAGCACTGATATCCTTGCAACGGAGGCTAGTGCTCACAGAGTAACGAGCAGGGTAGCCTGGGGCACTCGGCCTAGTCTGGGAGGATTCTCCTGAGGGCATGGCCCTTGTGGGGAGTGCCCTGAAGACGGGAAAAGTGGAGTGGGGAGTGACAAGGGCACCCTGCTGGCGGGGCTGTGCTGAGAAGAGCACACAGGGCTCTGCAGCCGGCACTAGGGGTTCGGCCCCTTTCCAGGGACAGTGGACAGAGCACGGTCAGCCTTGTGACCCTCTGGGTGGGACACACCAGTGGGGACAGCCCTGGAAGCTTTCTAGGCAGCCTTCACAGGAACCAGGCGAGAGATCACACAGCCTTGATCCGGGCTGTGGCTCGGGGAGAGGGAAAGGAGAGGCTTGGAGGGGACCTCAGGCTCAGACCCTGAGGTGATGCGGAGGTGAGGCCAAGGCAGAGGATGAGGTAGAAAGAAAGTCAGCCCCGAGTTTCTTCGTAAAAGAGGAGGATGGTGAGGTCTTGTCATTGACGAGAAAACCCAGTGGAGGAGTGGGGGCGGCGGGCAGGGCATCTCCACAGGCTTGGTGGGGTCTGAAGCTTGTGTAGTTTGGGGCCCCTTTTTAAGAAAAATAACACAAAATTGAAAACACAAGGTGTGGGCCAAGGAGCTTGCATAGATGGGGGGCCCTGGCATCCCAGAGGAGGGCAGCAAAGGGAAGGGTGGGGCAGGAACGCCAACTGTGGACCCTAGAAATGGCCCAGACAGGTGTGAGGGGCAGGTGCAGGGAGAAGCCCCTGGGGCAGGGCGGGGAGGTACAGGATTTAAAGAAACAGGGGTGTCCAATAGTTCCAGTTCTTTGAGGTAAACCTCTCCCTTTGGCATTCTCCCAGACCTCAGGAAGAAGGGGAGGAGCAGGCTGCTGTGAGGGGCTGGGGCGCAGCGGAGCCCTTGCTGGTCAACCAGCACCCTGCAGAGCTGGGGGGAGTTCTGAGGGAAGAGCACCCAGTCCAGCTGAGGATGGGAGGTGCCCTTACTGCTGGAATGGGGATCTGGAAGACGGGGTGACTCCAGCTTACTCAGATCATTGGAGGAAGCAGCTGCAGGGCACTGCTGGGTGGGTGGGCAGCACATACCCATGGTGGCAGAGAAGAAGACGATGCCCAGCACGTTCATGCCATCGCTGGTGCCCGGCTCTGATTTGTAAATGATCTCGGGCGGCGGGGTCAGGTCCAGGGCGAAGTTCTGCACACGAGAGCCATTTTCCTCCTGGACCCCATAGATGAGGATCCGCCGAGGAGGGGCCTCCTCTGGTGCCACCTTGGGGGACTTGACAACCGGAGTGGTCTTGGTGCGGTACTGGTGGGCAACATCGCACCCAGAGAGAGGTCAGGGCCAGGCGTTGTTATTAATATCAATGACAACAATAACAGCATCTTGAAGGCACATTTGTATCCGCTCCTATCCTATTTGATTGACAGTAACCGAGTCGGGCAGGGCAGGAATTACTATGAATATTTTACCCAAAGAAAGCTGCAACTCCTTCCTCCACCACCACCCCACCCAGTCATGCTGCCTCCTGCCCTCATTCCTCTTCTTCCTTCTATACCTCATCACCCCATCTGGCCCATCCGCCTAGCCCGTCATCCACCCAGGTAACCCTTTATCTACCTATCTGTCTCCTCCCAACCATCCACATCCACCCACCTGGCGGCCCTCTAGCCCTGCTGCCTACCAGGTGGAAACTTGGACCTTCTCTTTTAAGAAGCTTAGCCTGCCCCAAGCCTTCTTGATGAGGTGAAGCCCAGGCATGAGGAAATGGCCCTCCTTAGCCCGGTACCTTTCCCTCTCTGCCCCCAGAGCATTCATGGGTCTCAGCCCCTCATCCCTCAGGTACTGGGAGCCCAACAAGGGAGTCTCCTCTCCCCTCAAACCTCACTGCATCGATAAGGCCAACGTCTCAGGAAATACATGAGACCTGAAGTCGCTGTGCTTCCTTTTTCTCCTCTGTAAAATGGGATCGTGATAGCATTTACCGCATGGAATGAAATGAGATGATGTATATAAAGTGCTTACAATAGTTCCTGGCACATGGTAAGCCCCATGGAAGCATGACTGTTACTGTCACCATCATCACCATGTTGAACACTGTGCTGATTGCTGGAGACATGCAAATGAAACTGACATGATTCTGCCTTGGGGATGGAGTGACTAATTGGCTGAAAGAGTTAGACAACTTCACAAAGAAGGGGACATTTGGCTTGGGTCCTGAAGGATGGGTAGGAGTTTACCAAAAGAAAAAGGGCATTCCATGTAGTTACAAAGTAGAGCAATATTCTTTCTCTTTCTCTCTCATACCCTCAATGATTCCCTGCCCAGCAGTCAGTGCCCTTCACAATCTGGCTCATTTCACAGTTGTTAGCAGAGACACGGTGATGCTGAGGCTTTCACAGCCCCCTATTCAGACGCCTCCTCTCTATGCCTCAGCCACTTCCTTTGTGTTCCCAGGCTCAACACAGGGCCCAGCCCAGGAAAGAGGTTCAGGAAACCCTTGCTGGATTAAGTCAACCAACCAGCTGACAGTTTAAAAAGGGAGCAAGATTTGGAAAATAATTGGAAGGGCAGGCAAACACGATGCACAAGGACATTCGCCACAATTTCTACAAAGGGAAAACCACCTAAGGGAACACTGAAAAGGGGAATGGGAAATAAATTGCAGCCCAGCCTTATCACAGGCCATTATAGCACCACTAAATATTGCACTTTTAAGAAATATTTCATAACCGGGGGCAATGCTCATGATATAATGGAAGTGAAAGAAAGCAAGATGAGAACTGTATATCCACTATGATTATATTACTTCTAAAACATATAGCGGAAAAAGACTAGAAATATACCATCTGCTACCAGGGGCTATGTCCTAGAACTGAGATGATTTTTATTTCCTACTTCATGTTTTTAGTATTTTCCTAATTTTCTATATTGAACATCACTATCATTCTTGTTAGAGGGAAAATTATTACTTTAAAAAGAAAGAGGAAACAAGCTGAGAAGACAGGCCTGGGTCTAACTACTGGCTTTGTCATTTACTAGTGGTAGAACCTTGGGCAAATCATTTAATCCTCGGGGCCTCAGTTTGCTCGTCAGGAAGCAGCACAGGTCCTGCCTCAGTGCCGAGTTACTGTGAGGATGGGCAAGGTGGGGTACGTGTGAGCAGGGCGGGCCCTCAGTGCTGAGTTACTGTGAGGATGGGCGAGGTGGGGTACGTGTGAGCAGAGCGGGCCCTCAGTGGAGGCTTTTCTCCACCCCACACTTTTCATCATGAAAACTGGAACCCAGGACAGGGATGTGGCCATGGATCTCTAAGGATCTAGGTTCTGCAACGTGCCCTTCCCTCTAGCATCCCACCTCCAGGAGACAGCACAGCTGTCTGCCCACGTGTCACTTTCCAGCGAGGCCACTAGCCCAGCTGCCTGCCCTCCTCTCCCCTTCCCTCCTCTCCACCGCCCAGGGACTCACTCACCTGTTTGAATGTGGCTTCTACTAGGTTGGCTGGGAACATGTTCCTGGGAAAAGAATCAGCAGTTGAAAAATTCCAGAGCCCAGGACAGGAGGGCCCTGGTGGTCGTGTCCTTGGGGTCATCTGAACATCTCCCTTGGTGGTCGGGCCTTCTTCAGGCTAGCCCCCTCTGCAGTCTCAGCCGCTGCATCACGGCCGCCCCCCATCACCAGCACCTGCTCCCCGCAGACTATGCTGCATACTTTCCAGCACCGGGCATTTGTCTATACTGTTCCCTCTGCCTGGAATGCCCTGCCTGCCCCTCTGTCTGGTAAACTCCCCAAATCGACCACAGATCAAGCACCTCTTCCTCATCCGGCCCTCCCTGACTGCCCCGCTAGACCCTGTGGCCCTTCTGTGTGTGGGTCACAGCACAGTGTGGTCGCTGACTCACTTGTCTGCCTCCCCCATACAGTGGCTGCCTTGCAGGTGGGACTTGGTTGTTCATGTCCTACCTGTGGGGCCCAACACCGGACCTCGCACATAGGTGGGCTCATTATTCCTATTATCATATTTTATTATAAAGCTAAAGGTGAAGGATCTTTCTAACCAGATAAAAAATATACTGTAAAGATGTGATTGTCAAAACTGTGATACTGACACAGCTGTCAACATAATAGTGCATGTAACGGAAGCTGTAGCCCAGAAACAGAACCTAGTACATCTAAGTATTTCATACTTGATAAAAGTTGTTCCATAAATCAGTGAGGAAACAAAGGATGCATTATAGAATACTGTACAGCTGACCAATTGTTTGGAAAAATAGATGTTAGATCCTTACACTAAAATAAGTTCCAGATGGTTTAAAGAAATAAATAATTCCTTGAAAAATGAAACCAGCCGGGGGCGGTGGCTCATGCCTGTAATCCCAGCACTTTGGGAGGCCGAGGCGGGTGGATCACCTGAGGTCAAGAGTTTGAGACCAGCCTGGCTAACATGGTGAAATCCCATGTCTACTAAAAATACAAAAATTAGCCAGGTGTGGTGG